TGTTTTTGATCCACACGGTAGGCCGTACGCAAGTACTTATCTTTCATCAATCTAGGGCTGCTTCTCACTGGTTCTGGGTGGCCGAGTAGACTCTCTGCAGCTGGGTCTCTCCTGGTGCAGAATACGCCTCCCAAGCACCGCTGCTTGCCTGCCTCACCACTCACCCATGAGCTGCTCAGGCCTGAAGTGTTCAGGCTCTCGCTGGGTCAGGTCTGTCAACTCCTCACTGCTTCCAAACGGTCTCTCCCTCCCCTTGCCACTCAGTCTGGTTCCTCAACTTTGTTTTAGATGTTCAGGGCTCCTAGATTGTCATATATAATTGATTCACTTGTTTTTTCGGGTCTTTGTTGTAAGAGGGTCCACCGGAGGCGTCTGACTACTCCGCCATCTTCGCCCCGGCTCAGAAACCTCCTTTCTTAATGTCAAAGAGGAGGTGATAAAGTATTGGCCTGAAACAGTTACTGTCACACACAAGGGACTACACAAGCTTTTGTGTTCGGTGACATGATAGCACAAGAAGTCTTCACTTACATCACCCCCCTGAGAGGAAGGGATTTTTAAAGGCCTTGAAATCAGAACACCAGTTGCCATCCAGTGAATTCTGACTCATGGCAACCCCATGTGTGTCGGAGTAGAACTGTACTCCACAGGGTTTTTAATGGCTATTTGTTAGAAGTAGATAGCCAGACCTTTCTTCCAAGGTGCCTCTGGGTGGATTCGCAACTCCAGCCTTTGAGTCAGCAGCCAAATGTGTTAACCATCTGCACCACCCAGGAACTCATTTAAAGGCCTTAGATTTAGAATTTAGAAACAAAATGAAAAAATTATCTAATGGGAACTTACCAAAAAAATACTATTCAGTTTTGTTAAATTTTTATCTTGGAGTGCTGCATAAAAGCAAGAAACGAAAGTCTACTTAAATCATAATTGTTAACATTCATTGAGCACTTCTTGCATGCAAGGCACCTCATTTAATCTTCAGAGCAGATCTACACAATAAATCTACCCATTTTACCTATGAGAATGCTGAGGTTCAGAGAGGTTGTCCAAGGTCAATTTACAACCCAGACAGAGAAGACTGTGCTCTTATGTACTCCTTCAATCTGCTAACAAATCAGTAATTTCAATAGCAAAGATTGAGACTACGTTTAGTGGACCAAAATGTATATATACAAATTTAACTTCTACCTGCAGCCCCAGTGGTGCAGTGGTTAAGCGCTCAACTGCTAACCGAAAGGTCAGCAGTTTGAACCCATCAGCCGCTTCATGGGACAAAGATGTGGCAGTCTGCTTCTGTAAAGATTACAGCCTTGGAAACCCTATGGGGCAGTTCTACTCTGACCTATAGGGTCATTTTGAGTTAGAATCTATTCGAAGGCACTCAGCACACAACCTGCAGCTCCTCTACAAGCTAACCTTTCACCTTCATGAAATATGTCTCAAAATTTGTTCATTATATTCTGGATTTCTGTCAAGCTAAAATTTAGTATCCAGGGGAATTTTTTTTTTTTTTTTTAAATAGTTTTATCAGTAACGTTTATCCCACTCCAACTAAGGGGTATATGAAGAACCACTTACATTTTCAGAAATTCATATCTATACCAAATTGAATAAACGAATGCTTAAATAGGTTTGGAAACAACAATTCCTGCCCTAAGGTTGACTCACCTGTCAACTGCAAGCCTGACAAGAGAAGATATTGATGTCTGTGTACCTTTTCATTTTAAACAATATTTACACAGTCTAGTTTTTCCTGAACAAGGAGCCTTGAGGGAACCCCTACGTGAAAAGCCCCATCACTATGGCAACGAGAAACGTCAATGATTGCACAGTGATTCATCGTGTATCCCAACTAGAAATTGTTTTTCAGGGACCGAGGAACAACTCAGAGTCATACTTCACTGAAAAAGAACCCAGTTAAAGAATAACCTGAGGTGGTGGTTGTTTTTAAGTTTTTATCAAATTTGCATACTTTTATGCCAGGGCATCTATTTTAATATTAACTCCCAGTTCAGAGAGGTAACTAATATGTCTCCAAAAGAAATGTTCGTGCATTTGTTCATTCACTCATTCAAGAAATTATTTACACAGAGTAGGCGTCCTGTGGCAGGCGCTATGCTAGGTGCAGGGTATACCACTGTGAACAAGACAAACAGGGTGTGTGCCTCACGGAGCTTCCAGTACAAACAATAAGCAAATAGGCAACATGAGACCGTGTGATATCCTGTATGCTGCCTGACACAGTGTGCTCTGGGCATCTGGAGCACATAGGACTTCCCAGAGGAAGTGATTGCTAAGCTGAGACCTGACCCACGAGCAGCACCCAGCCAAGCAAAGCAAGGCAGGGAGGTATGCAAGCCTGGGGGGAGTTCCAGGCAGAGAAGGCATGCATGAAGGTTTGGAGGGTAGAAAGAACAGGGCACATTAGGGAACCAAAGCAGTTCTGTGTGGCTGAAACAGGAGGAGTTCAAGGTGCGTGGTGATGAAGAAAAATCGAGGATGGAAAGATAAGAAAGGCCCAACACAAAGGGGCTTGTTCCCAAAGGCCAAGCTAAGGACAAAGTATGAACTATTACTACATGTACAATTGTACAATATAGATGACTAACAGAGTCATAATATTGAGCAAAAGAAGCCACACACAAAAGAGTACATACTATATGATTCCATTTACATGAGATATAAAACTAGGCAAAACTAATCTACAGTGAGATTAAAAACGGGAGCGTGCTGACTTTGAGACTGAACATAAAAGGGAATCACTGGGGTACTGAATATGTTCTAGATCTTAATCTGGGCAGTGGTTAAACTGGTTATGCATATGCACAAATTTATCAAGTTTACACTTATTATTTATGCACATTACTACAAACAAGTTACACCTTAGTAAAAAGGGGGGGAAATTAAAGGAGCAAAAGTAATAGTAATGCATGTAGAAATTTTTGAAATAGTGTATCTTTGGTTATGTATATTTTCACCAAAAAAAAAAAAAAAAAAACGGTTGAGAAGGGAGAGGGTTGACATGTTGTGGGGTTGTTAACCAATGTCATAGAACAATATGTGTACTGACTGTTTAATGAGAAACTATTTGTTCCGTAAGCCTTCACTGAAGTACGATAAAAAAAAAGTAATAGTAAAATATTTAATAAAAGATGATTTCATATATTAAAAAATGCATTTATGAAAATCAAAGGGGTCAATAATTTCTTGAGAAAATTAACAGAAAGATTTAAAACAAAAAACAAATTTTAAAATAAAGAATAGTTTGACTTTTATCGTTTGTGCAATGTGGAACTATTGACAGGTCTTAAGCTTAATACTTCATTATAAAAAAATCACATATATGCATATGTTATACACATACACAAACTATACACATAGAGTAAACATATAAAGAAATGCCTAGGAAGGAAAATCATCAAATTTAAGTTAGTATTACCTACCCTGAGGATAAAATCAGGGCAGGGATACACAAGGGATCTCAGTTACATTGGCAAAGTCTTAAGCTGGGTAGTTTGTTGTAGCGTTCTTTGTACCTTTTTGTCCATATTTAATCTTCTATTTTTTTTTAATAAATAAAAAGAAAGATGACTATCTGCAGAATAAACCAATAAAAGGACTGCTGTAGTCATTCAGGCACGAAATGATGGTGGCTCAACTACGGTGGTGACAGTGAGGGTGGAGGAAATGCGGACTCACTGGAGAGCCATTTGGAGGGTAAATCAACAGCATTTGGTCATCAACCGGATGTGGAGGCTGAAGGAGTGGAAGGAGACAAGGTTTCCTCTTGAGCAACTGAATGGATGATGGTGCCATTCACTGAGATGGGGAAACACAGAAAACTGAGCAAGATTTTAGAGGGAATGAGACGAAAATGAGTCTAGTTTTTGACACTATGATTTTGGAAAGTTTCCAAATGGAGATTTCCAAGAAGCAGTTGAAACTACAGGTCTGAAGACGAGAAGTGAGAACCAGGGTAAGGACAGATTTGGGAGTCATCAGTAGAGAGCTGGTGACTGAAGCCAGCTCAAGAGACTGACTTCAGAGAGACAAGACTCTAGAGAGAAAATGGGGAGTAAATCTACAAGAGAGTTTAGGAGAGGGCTTAGGGCAGGTTGCAGTTAAGGGACCACAGAAGAGTTAGATTGGAAGCTGAGAAATAGCAGCCCAAGGGGTGGAAGAAAACATTGAGTATGTGTTACGGTGGTAGCTAGGAGAAAACAGTGTTACAAGAAGGAGGGCCCTGTATACAGTGCCAAATTTTTATGTAAGTTCACGGAAGATAAAGACTAAAAAGTAACCACTGGATTTGACAGAAAGGAAGTCCCTGGTGTCTTTTGCAAGAGCCATTTCTAAGAAAGGCGGAGGAGGAAGTCAGAGTGGGATAAATGGAAAACTGGGGGAAAGCAAAGTATAAACATCAACTATGGACTTCTTTTTCAAGAAGGCTAGCTCTGAAGAGGAGAGAGATGAGGAGCGAAAGGAAGACAGGTTAAGAAAGGATTTTTTATTTGTTTATATTGTTTCAAGACGGGATAGATATAAGCATATTTAAATGATAACAAAGGAAAGAAACAAAAGCATGAATATATTAGCATATATTATATACGGACATATTTAGACCCCCCTCTCCCAAAATGAAGTAAACACAGCAAGGTTCTCAGCAAGACAACCACCTGGCTATAAACGTTCTCAAGTCATATTAACACTCAATAGCTGGTGAAATAAAGCATGAACTAGACAAATGTTAAACCACGAAGCAGCACATTATAGACAAAGGAAAATGGATGTTAAGTGACTAGTGTCAGAAAAGACCCTACACGTACCTCACAGTCTCCACACTTACCCCCACCATCCTAGTAGTGCAAAAATACCCTTTGGCACTGAATGAAAGAATAAATTTGAGAATAATAAATAAAAGAAAATTAAGTTACTATCCAATGGTTTTTGGTTCCATAGACTATTTTCTTGAGAAATAGCCATTGTTATTAAATACTTACCAGCTTTGGAGTTTTCAGGATGCTTGTCAGGATGGCATTCCAGGGCTCTCATCTTAAATTCTGCCAGGATTTGTTCAACCTACAACAAAAACCGACATGTAAAATAAGGAGTCCAACTTGGCATGTCCTCCCCAAAACAGCCATGAGCAATCCAAGTTTTTATCCTTATATTTCTATTTTGACTATTTGCTCTAGGAAATACTTTCCTTGGTAAAGAAATTCAGAAGACACTCAGTAAAAGCTCTTATTCAATTAGTGGTCGTGCCAACAATTTAACTTGCTATTGCAGTTAGGGAAACCCTGGTGGCGTAGTGGTTAACAGCTATAGCTGGTAACCAAGAGGTCAGCAGTTTGAATCCACCAGCCGCTCCTTGGAAACTCTATGGGGCAGTTCTACTCTGTCCTATAGGGTCGCTATGAGTTGGAATTGACTCGACAGCAATGGGTTTATTGTATTTAAATGATGGTTCTAGATGTCTGTGGGCTCTATATATTTAAATGTCCAAAATGGTCAAACAGATTTCTTCTACCAAAAAAAAAAACATTGCCTTCACGTGGATTTCAACTCCTGGCAACCCCTTGTGTTACAGAATAAAACTGCTCCATAGGGTTTTCTTGGCTTTAATCTTTACCGGGAAACCCTGGTGGCGCAGTGGTTAAGAGTTCAGCTGCTAACCAAAAGCTTAGCAGTTCAAATCTACCAGGTGATTCTTGGAAACCCTATGGAGCAGTTCTACCCTGTACTATAGGGTCGCTGTGAGTTGGAATTGACTCCACAGCAATGGGTTTGGTATTTTTTTTTTTTTTTAAATCTTTACAGAAGCAGATTGCCAGGCCTTTCTTCATTGGTGCCACTGAGTGGGTTCAACTTACCAACATTTTTAGATTAGCAGCCAAGGCTAAGAATCCCTAAAAAACATGTTTACTTATCTGAGTTCTTCAAATCATGCTTAACCACTGTTCATTATTCAAGGATGACTGCCCAGTTTATAAATTATCCATTACATAGCCCTTTCATCCTGCCTTTTGGCTCTTTTAAATTTTTATTAAGAATTTCACAATTGAAAGAAAAAGGACATAATTCAAACCGATGATTCTGTTACCACTTAGCGACTTGGTTACAGATTTTGATTGGGAAAACAGAAACTCCAATCCAAACTAAGATGATTTGATTTTACTTACCCATCTATTTCATGTTATAATGAATTACTAAGACTCACCTTTATTAATTGTGGAGCCCTGGTGGCTCCGTGGTTAAGAGCTCAGCTGCTAACCAGAAAGGCTGGAAGTTTGAACCCACCAGCCGCTCCCTGGAAACCCTATGGGGTAGTTCTACTGTCCTATGGGTCACTATGAGTCAGAATCGACTCGATGGCAATAGGTTTGGTTTGGTTTTTTATTAATCATAATTGCAATGACAGCTGCAGGAGGCAATAGTGATTAAGTGGCTCTGGAATATGATTGTTTGGCATTAAATCCCAGTTCAGCCACAAGGCTTTGGGCAAGTTACTTAATTTCCATGTGCCTTGGTTTCCTGGTCTTTACATTAGATGGATAATGCATGTAGAGTATTTACCACAAAGCCTGGTCATAGTAAGAACTCAATAACAGTAGCTATTACTAAACATCAGTGGTTAAGTAACTTCCCAAGTCATTCGGTTAGTTACTAAAAAAACTGCGTTATTTTTGTTTTTTTAAACTAAGCAGTCAGACTTCAAATCCTATCATCTTAACCACTGTTGTATATGGCCAAATTCTTCAGGTTTCAGGAATGTTTATCAGGTCCTATATTTATTATCCACAAATTAATGAAAGCAAGTAACTTCTTATTTGAGAAATGAATTCCCAAGCAGCTCAGCTCAATGTTAACGTCATAAAATTCATCGAGAGACATATTCTTATCAGTTCCATGTCATCCTTAGTCAATCATAAAAATTTTCTTGACCTTTACAATCAAAGTCATACTGCACTAGATATGCACATGTATAAAGCCTACTAGACGAATAACTGTTCTTTTCATTTTTAAGCTTCTACCAAGAACCCCTTGGAACAACAGGAAGAGATAGACTTTCTGTTAAGAACGGTACTTGTGTGTTTGTAATTCCTGGGAGCTCCTTATAACCATCATCAACATAACGTGCTTGTATAACAAAGAAAACTGAGAATTAGATTTGTTTCTAAATTTTACAATATCATATATTCTAAAGAGTCTACTCTAAAGAGTAGTAAGCATTTTTAATTAACAATTAATTTATGAAGACTCACACTCTTTGAAAAATTTCCATCGATACAGAGTAAAAAGGGAAGTCCCGTTTATCCCCTCCCCCCAAGATAAAAGCTTATGTCCTTTGAGACTCATGTCTACACATTTACACACATATTTACATATATATCTTGGGTTTTTATAATGACATAAATGAATGAAATTATACCTATCTATCAAAGGTAGAAAGGTTAGGTGGTTTGTTTGTTTGTTTTTTAATGTTGTTGTTATTTTTTAATTCACAACCCATTAGGAAACATTCTCGTTAGTCTGTGAAACAAATATGCCAAAATGGTTAATTCTCAGTAGCGCTAATGTGTGATTGTTATTTTCTTCCTTATATTTTCTGTATTTTTCAAATTTTTTAAAACACAAGAATAGTCCATATCTGTCTTTCATTACTTTCCATAGCTTTACTGGCACAAAGTTTATCACAAGCTTTCTATATAAGGCTGGCTCTGGGTAAACTGATAAAGTGAGTTAGTTTGTCTTGGGCACATTTTACTTATCTTCTGGCACCCCCACCCTATGTGCCCAGTGAGAAATCCAGTCCATGGGCAGCAGAGGCCCTCCATATCAAGGTCCACTGAATTACACCTTCCTGATCCAATGTCCAATGGTCTGGAAAATTGCCTATCCTGTTGGCCAGTAAACATACAAAAAGTGTTCAACTTTTACTTGTAATCGAATAAATCAAAACATCCAAAGGATGATAACAAACAGTGTTATTGAGGGTGCAGAGAAACAAACACTCTCATGCTTTCCTGGTGAGGATGTAACTTGGTGCCAATTTCTGGAAAGCAATTGGGCAATATATGTGAAAAGCCTTTAATTTTTTCATACTGTTTGACCCAGAATCCCAATCCTAGGAATATGTACTAAGTAGATAATCAGAGGTGAAAAAATAATTTAGTTATAAGATGGTTCAATGAATACAATGTTATAAATCTGAAACAAAAACCTATGTGTCCAATAATAGAATATTTGTTAAAGTTACTTGTAATGTAGTCATAGGCTGAAATACTTTGTAGGCATTCAAAATCATCTTGTAGAAGACTTAACAACATGAGAAAACTTGTACAGCTATATTTCTGTGAGAAAAGGTAAGCTACAAAGCATTATATGTAATATAAATCCATAATGTTCACCTCAAAAGGGACTATGTAACATGTATGTATTGGGGTTATTAGTTGCCACCCAGTTGATTTCGACTCATAGCGACCCCATGTGACAGAACAGAAGTACCCGATAAGCTTTTCTTGGCTGTAATCTTTACAGAACAGATTGCCAGGTTTTTCTCTTGCGGAGCCACTGGGTGGGTTTGAATCACCAACCTTTCAGTTAGCAGCCAAGCGCTTAACCATTTGTGCCACTAGGGCTCCTTAACATATGTATATAGCTGTATGTAATAGAACAATGATAATAATAATAGCTAAGGTTTATCAAAACTTACTGTGTGTCAGGCACTGTTCTAAGCACTTTACATGTAGTATCTCATTTAATCTCCACAACTCTTTGAGATGTGTACTATTTTTATTCCCATTTTGAAGATTAAGAAGGCAAGGCATAGAAGGTTAAATAATTTTCCCAAGGACATACAGCTAGAAAGTGGCAGAACCAGGACTTCAACCTAAGTAATCTGACTCCAAACACATATACAAATACACACATAAATATATATATATGTACTTTTATATATATATACATACATGGATATGGCATAGATGCATACATAAATGACATACATGTCATACTCCAAAATGTTAAGTATTTAGGTTAACACTTTTCTTCGTGCTTTCTTCATACTCTACACTTTCTACCTTGAGTATGAAGTAATTTTAGAACTTAAATTTTAAAACTTGAAAATTTATCTCTCCCTGTTATGGATTGAATTGAGTCCCCCCAAAATGTGTGTTGACTTGGTTAGATTTCCAGTATTGTGTGATTGTCCACCATTTTGTCATCTGATGTGATTTTCCTATGTGTTATAAATCCTACCTGTGATGTTAATGAGGCAGGATTAGAGGCAGTTATGTTAATGAGGTAGGACTCAATCTACAAGATTAGGTTGTGCCTTAAATCAATCTCTTTCGAGATATAAAAGAGAGAAGCGAGCAGAGAGACAAGGAATTCATACCACCAAGAAACAAGAGCCAGGAGAATAACCCGTCCTTTGGACCCGGGGTCCCTGCACTGAGAAGCTACTCGACCGGGGAAGATTGATGACAAGGACCTTTCCTCAGAACCGACAGAGAAAACCTTCCTCTAGATCTGGCACCCTGAATTTGGACTTCTAGCCTTCTAAACTGTGAAAGAATAACTATCTCTTTGTAAAACCATCCACTTGTGGTATTTCTGTTTCAGCAGCACTAGATAACTAAGACAGTCCTGTATCCTATTAGCACAATATCTTGGTCTGTGCAAGGAAATACTCAAGTGTACAATGAGAGCTAATCTGATTCCCACTTGCATGGGTCTGCTCCAGCTTCCCCTTACCATGCAATACCCTCTGTCTCTCCCTCTATGTGTCTAAATTATGACTATCTAATAAAACCACACAGTTAAGTGCTTGGCTCCTAACCCAAAGATTGGCAGTTTGAACCTACCCAGTGGGTCCACAGGACAAAGACCTGGTGATCTGCTTCCATAAAAATTACATGCTAGAAAATCCTATGGGGCTGTTCTACTCTGTCACATGGGGTCGTTATGAGTTGAAATCAACTCATCAGAACCTAACAACAGTAACACCGTCTGAAGTCCCATTTCTTCTCTGAGGTGTTTTCAGATATTCTTTCTTTACACTTATATACAGTATCATCCAGCACAGTACTAAGCTGTTCTCAAATTGTCTCCTGGGTGTTAGCTTTGGCTCCACAGTTGGATGCCAAATTCCTGAAACACTGAGACCATGTCTCATCCTTTTAGTTTAGCTTAGTTTTGCTTTGTTTCTCCCCCCATCGCTTCTAGTACTGGCCCCACAGTAAATGTTCAATAAATACTTCATTAAAGACCAACAGAAGTTCTCCAAGTAACTTAAGTACAGTTTAATAGAGCCTTTCTGAAAATTGTGGTTGACTCATGTAAAAGAGTGAACTGATTCTAATAGCAGAAATTTATACGCTGCATAAAAGAGAAGAATTGTCTTAATAAGTGGGCTAATTAGTATCCCTCATTTCAGTTCACTTAGTTTGAAACTGGCTTCTCCCACAAACCTCCAGATATTAGCAAAATCCCCAGTTCAGGAGGAAATCCATGAGAGATCATTCCTACATCAATCTAATCAAATGATAATTCGTAAAAACACGAGCTATAGAAACAATCTGAGCCACAAAATAAATAATGATAGTATTGGATTATAATTCATAAAATACAGTAAAAAAAAAAATTGCCATCAAGTCAATTCTAACCCATAGCGACCTTATAGGACAGAGTAGAACTGCCCCACAGGGTTTCCAAGGAGCAGCTGGTGGATTCGAACAGCTGACCTTTTGGTTAGCAGCCATATCACTTAACCACTGTGCCACCAGGGCTCCATAAAATACAATAACTATCCATTAATCCATACTGATAAAAACAAATAATTAGAAAAAAATAATAATAATTGGATGAATAAATAAATAAGTGTGGGAAAAGGGATAGTTCTTCTTTTTTTTTACAGAATAATTCCAACTAATAAATGTAAAAAAAGTGAGGAAAATAGAAAAACACCATAAGGCAAACACCACAGTAAAAACTGCTATAGGCAAGATCCACTAAAGGGTGCGAAAATCAGTGGGTAGAAGTTTGAGGGAAACAATATAGTCTCAAAGTATCTTCCACAAGATCTTTATTAATTACAAAAGAAAAAATAGAAACTTGGCAGACACCACCTTAATCAAGTGATCGAGGTTAATAATGATCAAGATCAATAAGACACATACCCGCAATATGATGCACCGAGTATTTTTTCCAAAATGCATAACATCAGTCTAATCATAAGAAAACATCAGACAAACCCAAATTGACGGACATTCTACAAAATAATTGATCAATACTCTACAAAAGTGTAAAGTTCATAAAAGACAAGGAAAGAATGAAAAATGGTCAGGTTGGAGGAAACTAAGGGGATAGGACAACTAAACATTATGTGGAATCCCAGCTTGCATTATAAACAGATAAAGGGCATTAGAAGAAAAACTGGTGGCATTAGAATAAGATCTATAGCAGAGTTCCCAAACCCAAACCCATTGCTGTGGAGCTGATTCCGACTCATAGCGACCCTACAGGACAGAGTAGAATTGCCCCATAGGGTTTCCAAGGAGTGGCTGGTGGATTCGAACTGCTGACCTTTCGGTTTGCAGCCATAGCTCTTAACCACTGCACCACCAGGGCTCCATAGTACAGTTCAGAGGTCAACAAAAAAACTCTGGCCCACAGGCCTAATCCAGCCGACTATCTGCTTTTAAATAAAGTTTTATTGGAACACAGCCACAGCCATTTGTTTGCATCTATGGTTGCTTTCTTGCGAAAGCAAAGTTGAATAGTTGTGACAGAGATCGTAGGCCTAAAATACTTACTATCTCAAGTGACAGGAATGGGATGTAGCAAACTGAGCAGTTAAGGTGCAAAATTTAAAGAGGCATTCACTCTCAGGTTTCTGCACTTGAACCACCCTGAGAGTGAGTGCCTCCTTAAATTTTGCATCCTAGGTTCCCCACTTACCGTACCCTATTCCTGGCCCTGCCTATTGGCCCTTTACAAAAAACATTTGCTGGCCCCTGATTAAGTTAATAATATTGTACCAATGTTAGTTTTCTGGTTTTGATCATTGTACTATGGTTAAGTACAATGTTAACATTAGGAGAAGCTGGGTGAAGGGTATACAGGAAATCTCTGTCCTATTTCTGCAACTTTTGTGACAGTCAAAAATTATTTCAACTAAAAAACTAATTTGAAATAAAAAGAGAACACAGCTATAGGTTATGATAAATTTACAAAGTGTGTAGCCAAAACAACCACCACAGCTGCAACAAAGTGAGAACTAGAAAAAAATAGATGTTTCCATTTATCTGGGTTTGTGTTCAGTTTTCAAGTCCAGTATATTTACATGAAGTTCTCTTATCATTACTACTGAAATTGTGGCCAAGTATTAAAAAATCATATAAGACCCATACAAGGGAGGATAATGTCTTAGACCCCTACTGTGTGGTATATGCATCAATATGGACTTTGGAGGGTTTTACAGACTATGCCTTTCGTATACAATCCAATATAGAGAGAAAAGGCTGAGTGACTTTGGATCAAACTTCGGTAAATTTTTTTGAAATGGGGAGTAAGTTGTTTTCCACTCAGTAGCATGGAAATCCTCCTGTGATTTATGTATGCCTTGCACATAAAGTAGGAAATTTGTCTCATTGCTTATACCCACGATTATATTTTCAATTTGTGAAGGGTGATTTTCTTTAAAGCTTCTAAGAAGAAAAAGCTTTAGAACTACTATACTAGAGCCATTAGAAAATATGCAATTTTACTTTGAATTTAGTTAATTTTCAACACAAGCTTTAAGTTGTAGAACTATTCACCAAAGCAAAAGTATTATCTGGATGTCTCAATTCTACTGTTGTAAGTAGAACTAAAATACCGAGCTGCTTTGAAATTATAACTGTTAAATCACTTTTGAGTATGAAGAGTTACGATCAATTTTACAGCATCAAATCAAGAGATATTTGAAATAAAGTAAAATACAATATCCTCCCAAACATATCTCCAAACACAAATCAAGAAAAGGAGATGTCACATTAAATAGCATTAAAATATTTTAAATGGGAAAGACACACAGAAAAAGAAAAGAAGGAATGATGCATACAGAAAGAAGTGGCAAAATTGTCAGAAGTCATTTCATTTTATATAAGTGATTGTTATCTAGACATGCTATGCCATTGATAGAACCAGTAATATGTCCAGAAAAAAAGAAATGCTGAGACAATGCTTTTATTTTCCTTTCAATATACGCCACAGTATATTCGGAGAAGTAACACCGTAACTGGTAACCATGAAATAACACTGTTATAACATTATAAATAAACAATGGGATCATTTTTGTGAGTCTATCCATAACTAATCCTACTTCTTTGTAGACTGAAAAGACAATAACCTAGCTACAAAAGACTGACTACATGGGTCAAGAAATTTATTATGAGGAGATAACAACCTTAAACGTACAACATATCATCACAGCATTTTTTTAAAATCCAAATTGTGAAACTTATCAAGTTAAATTATTTTCCTCTAATTTTAAATAGTTCCATTAAAAATATTTGGCAATCGTATAATCCAAAGTGTGAATAATACATACGGTAAAAATGGTAATGACCTATCTCAACTGCTATAAACTAATTGCCATCAGAGTAAATAAGATAACATATTATTCTAGAAGAGAAATGTGCAACTAAAAGAGGATTAGAACCTGTTCTAGGTTTTTGTTTTTTGCTTTTTTGAACTTCAGGTTATCTAAGATACTTTCCTCAGTGTGATGAAGACTGAAGATAGAAATTTTAATCCTCTGTGTCCAACATCACAACCTATTTTCAAAAAGAAAACTAAGTAAATTTCATTATTAAACTCCTGCCTTTCTGAAACAAGGGTAACTGTAAAAATATTTTGCTTTTAAATATTAATATTAATAATTATGGTTTAATAATGATAAAACATATAAAATAAGACACTTAATAATCAAATATTAGTCATCATATTTCATATATTCATCTCAGCAGTATTTAAAACATTGGAAAGCTGGAAATAAATTAAATGTTTAATAATAAGAGAATTATTCAATTGTGGTACATCAGTAAAATGAAACATTATGCAATCATTAAAATGTGTATGGAGAATGTTTAATAGCATGGAGAAATCCTTGTTACAATGTTAATGGGTAAAAAGCAGGAATCAAAAGTATATACAATATGTTCCCACACATGACTTTAAAATATATATAGGCAGAAAACTGGAGATTAGTATGTTAAAATATTAATAATGTTACCCTTAGGTGGTAGAATTATACTTCAAAAATTTTCCACAAACTTTATAATTGCTTGAGGGGGAATTTAAAAAAATCATTCCATTATAGATCAAGTGAACAGCTACAGGTTTTCAAACTTGTTTTCTTTCAGAAGCCCCACTTTTAAGAAGTAATTTCAGTCACATAATTTGAGATATTAACCTAAAAAGTTGTTTCTTGGCACATGATTTAACTGTTCACATAAAAGTACATATTTTAATAAAACATTTTTAAATCACTAATTACTAGAAAATTATATTTCATCTTAATTATAGTATGAATTGCCAAAATAAAAATGTAGCCTTTGTATACTAAGGAACACAGCAACAACAATTACAAAAAAATTTCAAAGGTGTATTTTTGGTATATTGTCAAATAGCGTGTATGGCCACGTGCCAGAATACACATATTTAATCAGAAGCGTCCATAAAATTTCAACAGGACACTATCCAAGTAAAGAACCACCATACATTTAAATCCTTAACTTTCTCCGAGCCGAAAGTGCTTTAAAATAATACAAGATTAGGTTCTCAGGCAATAGAATTAAAAGCTCAAAGCTTAACCCTTAAATAAAAACTTGAAATACTGTTGGGATAAAGAACAGCGTTTACCACCGTCTTACCGAAGACAGTTCATCGCATCCCAGTAACGTGTAGTAATCTTCAGTATCTTCCAACCTGTAATTCAGTATTGCGTCCATTTAGACGATTAACTCAGCTTCTCTTCCCTCTGAAACAAGAAGCACAACGAGCTGCGAATTAATAGAAAAATCCTCTTTAAATCTGATTGCACGTTCAGCAGCACGTTCCAAACGGCAGTAAGTAGATTTAACGCTGGCCACAGTCAATACACCCAGACGTCATCCTAGACCTTTGTAAACGTTACCTTTCATTGGTTGTTTACAGACAGAAAAGAATAGCCCACAGGCCTGACTTGCAGCGCTGCCTGGGATATGTAGTTTGCGTTTACTTAAGAAGTGCAAACGAACCATTTCTCTTGTGGGTTAATAAAGAATGATTCTCCTTTTTTTTTTTTTTTTGGTAGTAATTTTAATTATTTTTGGTGTGTGTGCTTTAGGTGGAAGTTTACAGCTCAAGTTAATTTCTCATTCAAAAATTTATACATGTATTGTTTTGTGACATTGATTGCAATCCCCACAATGTGACGGCATGCTCCCCATTTCCACCCCAGGTTCCCTGTGTCCATTCATCCAGTTCCTGTCCCTTTCTGCCCTCTCGTCTTTCTTTTGGACAGGAGTTGCCCATTCGGTCTCGTTACATTTCGTTGAACTAAGAAGCACGTTCCTCACGTGTGTTATTGATTTAATAGGCCTGTCTAATCTTTGGCTGAAAAGTGTGCTTCAGGAGTGCTTTCAGTTCTGAGTTAGCAAGGTGTCTGGGAGACATAGTCTCAGGTTTCCTCCAGTCTGGTCTTTTTATGTGAATTTGAATTCTGCTCTACATTTTTCTCCCATTCTGTCTGGGACTGTATGTTGTGATCCCTGTTGGAGCAGTCAGTGGTAGTAGACAGGCACTATCTAGTTTTGGGCTCAGGCTGGTGGAGGCTGTGGTTCATGTGGTCCTTCAGTACTTTGGGCTAGTACTTTCCTTGTGTCTTTGGTTTTCTTCATTTCCCTTTGCTCTGGACAGGATGGGACCAATACATGTATCTTAGATGGCCGCTGGCAAACTTTTAAGACCCCAGACGCTACTCACCAAAGTGAGATGTAGAACATTTTCTTCATGAACTATGTTATGCCAGTTGATCTGGATGTCCCCAGGGACTGGGGTACCCAGCCCCCAGCCCCCGCCACTCAGTCCCTCAAAGTGTTTTTGGACGTGTCTAGGAAACTTCTATGCTTTTTGACTCTCCATTTTTATAAGCTTCCCAAATTAGCCTTCTTTCCTTTTTCTTAAGATACAGGAGAAAAACTGACGCAATATGGTAAAACGTTAAGATTTGTTAAATAGTGAGTGCTTTTATGAGTGTTAAAGATATTTCGTGATTTTTAAAATACTTTCAGAGTAGAAGGAAAGAGACTGGGATAGCAAATTTTTCATTCGTTTCATAATTTATTCATTGAACAAACAATCACTGTTGTAGGGAAAGGCATGGTAAACAAGTTCTGGTTCTTATGGAGCTTACATTCTGATGCCGAGAGACAGACGAGAAACATGAAAAACAAGATCATTTAAAGTAGTGATCTGTCTATGAAGGAAATGAAATAGGACAATGAGAACAAGTACTGTACGATGACCCTTATAGGATCGCTGGGTCATTTCTGCTGGGCTGTCTCCTTCCAGGTTCAGGAGTGTGGTCTGGGCCTAGAGTGTGTCAGTTCACTGTGGCCCTAGGCAATGCATTTCAGCTTTGTGATTTAGAGAAGTTAAGTGGTCAGAGATACAATACTTTAACTGGTTTAACACTTTAAACAAGGAGCCCTGGTGGCGCAAATGTTTAAGTGCTCGGCTACTAACCGAAAGGTCAGAGGTTCAAACCTACCAGCTGTTCTGTGGGAGACAAGACCTGGTGATCTGCTCCAGCAGAGATTACAGCCTAGAAAACCCTATGGGGCAGTTCTACTCTGTCACATGGGTCACTATAAGTCGGAATTGACTCCACAGCACCCAACAACACTTTAGATGCCCCCATAAATACTCAGCCTGAGGAAAAAAAATACTTTTCCATCTAGCCCACCTATATACAATCTCATTTAAGGCCTCTTCTTGAAGAGAAGCAAGAAAAAGCACTGAAGCACTATTTTTACTAATCCTTCGTTACTTATCCTCTTGTGCTAAAAGTTCTGTATGGAATTTTAAAATAAAGTACAATTCATTTTGTTTTGGAAATGTCACTACATTCCTTAAGGTATTTGGAGGTCTTCCTGCGTCACTGATGAACAGCCTTAAAAAGATATGAAGTCCCTCGAAGACTGAACAACCCTGACTAGAAGAAAAAAAAAGTATTGTTCCTTCACTCTCCACCGTGAACACAGGACAACACTTTGATGTTGTTCTGAAGAAAAAGGAATATTGGTAAAACACTCATGTTTTGTTAAATGCAACTTGTAAGTTCTTTTATCTAAACCACCGTATTCTCATATTCTGCGTATTAAAGTTAGTAAAGAGTGCTAGACACAGTCATAAAGTGCTGGCAGCAAAAGAAATTGGTATAACCTTTCTGAAATGGGCATTGGCGTATTAAAAGTCATAAAAATTTTCATGTTCTTTGTCTAAGCAATTCTATACCTACTAATTTATTCAAAGAACGTAATCAAGAATGTGCACACAGATATAGCAATAAATAATGGTTATATTTACCAAAACAGTTATAATAGTGAAATTTTTTAGGAAAAAAATTAAACGTCCAACCATCACATAATGATCCACATACAGTAGCATACCAGTGCAAGACGTGGAAAAATATTTAATGCCTGAAAAAATGTTCATACACTACTGTTAGGTTAAAAAAAAAAAAGGCAGGGTAAATAGGTGAAGCACAGGGCATTTTTAGGGCATGAAACTTTTCTGTATAATACTATAATGGTGAACGCATGACACTAACCAGTCAACTCTGACTCACGGTGACCTCATGTGTTGCAAAATAGAACTGCACCCCATGGTGTTTTCATGGATGTGACCTTTCAGAGGCAGATCACCAAGCCTTTCTCTCAAGGCACCTCTGGATGGGTTCAAACCACCAACCTTTCAGTAAGTAGCCCAGCGCCTAACAGTTTGCATACCACTCAGGGACTTCTTATGTGACATTAAGCATTTGTCAAAACCCATAGGACTGTACAACACAAAGAGTGACCCCTAATGTGAACTATAGACTTTAGGTAATGATAATGTATTAATATTGGTTCATCAGTTGTGACATATGTACCCCAGGAATGCAAGATGTTACTAGAAGAAACAACGTACAGGGGGGAGGGGGTAAATGGGAACCCTCTGTACTTTCTGCACAATTTTTCTGTAAACCTGAAACTGCTCTAAAAATGAAGTCTACATTTTTTTAAGTTACAAAACAATATCTAGTATGTAAAAATTCAGAGGTCTATGGCAGTATGATGGATCGTTACTGTGTGGCTTTTCTCACCATGGTCTTGTAACTTCCACCCAAGCGACTGGGCAAGACTGTGCAGACAAGGTAATTGTGGGCCACCAAAGGGATTGGTCAATTTTGCCATCCTGTTAGGCTTGAAATGAGCCATCCCAGGGGTAGGAAGAGAAGATCTCACCACCACCAAGGAAGAAGAGCCAGGAGCATGTGTCCTTTGGACCTGGAATCCCTGCACTGAGACCCTTCTAGACCCAAGAGTCAGAGAAAGAGAGCGCTGTAACACTGAAGATGGCAAGACAGTGAGAAGCAGCGGCAGAGAAATGGCAGCAGCAGAGGCAGCAGAACCAGGAGACCAGCAAGAGACAGTGTGGTGGGCTTCCCAGCCCAGGGAGCAAGAAAGCTGAGTTCCTTCGGGCAGGAGGCTTGCTGGTGGAGTAGCATGCCTCTGGGCTATTAATGGGTAGAGCTAAGAGTTTTGTAACACTTGCCCAAGCAGGGAAGAGGCTGAGGGGCCAGAGAGAGACGCGCGCCGCAGGCCCAGCTGAGAAGAGGCTGTCCTGATGGAAGAACTGAGCGTTTATGACCCTGAACTGTAACCTGTTAACCCATAATCGTGACTATTGTCTGTGAGTTCTGTGTGGCCACTGCCATGAATTATTGAACTTAGCAGAGAAGAAGAGATGCCGTGGGAGGACAGGAGGTTACGCTGCCTCTTTAATAGCTCACTGCACAACAAACGCTGAATGCTGTTTCCGCTTTTCCCCTTTTTTTGCAAAGGCAAAAGTCCTCTTGGGATTTCTTTTGGTTAGTGAAAACAGGTACTAATGTAGATCTTTTTGTAAAAGTGAAGTGGCGTGAAGCAAACTTTCGAAAAGCAGGGCATACCTGTATATTACTTACCAAACTGAATGACTCGTCCTTCTCAACGCCATCCAACCTACAACACCCTTTGGGGTAACTGCAAAGGTGAGAAAGAACAACATCAGACAGCAGAGTGAAATATCCAAAAAAACAAGCAATTGAAAAGTTTCAATTTGAGGTTACCTGGAAATACAGTGGGGTCTATCTATGCTAGCACACACAAACACATAAATGTCAACACTGGTGATTACAGGATATGTCAAATATATTTCTGGTCCTTAAAGGTAACTCAGTAAACACTCAGTGAAGGTGACCTTTATATTATTGTTATCATATTATTATATTATGTTGCAGGTTTGCACATCATTACTGCCTATTTTCCTCAGTTTGCCATCTCCTTATTTACTTTAACTATCAGAATTCAGTGAAAAGCTCCTTCCTATCTTATTTCAAGCGTTTCAGTTTTTGTTCTTTTTAATAATAATTTTGACTAGCTCAGTTGATACAAGTCTCCCAAATAAACGTATTAAGTTCGATCAGATCCTTGATGAAAATACTTGCAGTGCAATTTCATAATCACAGAGAAAGAAAATCTTGAAAGGATGTGCCCAAAAAACAGTCCTCTTGTTTTTCTTATTATCCAAACTAATACAAACTTCACATTCCTACTTTCCAGTTAATTTTTATTTGTATCAGTGTTATACATGCTCAAGAATTTTGGTTTTGTTTTTAAAGACAAATAGTACTCCAAGGTTTATAACAAAAAAGCAGAAGTCCTGCCTCACATCTCCCTCTACCCAGAGGCAAATACTAAAAATTTTAGCTGTTTCTTCTCATATTTTTTTCATCATTTTTCTAAATAATGTTTATACTTCAGAACTTCTTTTAAGTGTAAAGTATTCCACTACTTTCTCCACACTAAAACTTTGATCAAACAGTAGCAAGATGGCAAGGATACATTAT